TACACAATTCCTGTCCAGACTGTAATGAGACGCCGCACGACGTCCATCATTTATTCAACTGCACTGGAAACCCGACTGGCCTGACTACTGAAGACCTCTGGCTTCATCCCCTCGAAGTTACTGAGTTCCTCAAACTTCATATTACGAGGGAGCGGGAGAGCTGAACTCCCTTAAGAATCATATTTCAGTGAAATAACAACCAAGATGCTGCCCTCTAAGCAGTACACATCGACAACGACAAAGAGCTGACTTCGAAAGACGGATCAGTGATATCAAAACGAGTCTAGTGCTTAAACGGTATTCATTTTACCACTCATGTCGCATACCTCAATTATTCTACCGGGGGACACGGGCACTGGGCAGGGACTAGCGGAAACCAACTCAGAGAGAGACGAAACAGAGATGAAGTACTGGATAGCGATGGCAACCAAGAAACAGAACATAACGCAGCCACCCCACAAAAACCCACAGACAATGGCGTTGGGCCTAGCTACTACAAGTGTAGCAGTGTTCAGCCCGTATGAAGCCAAACGCAAAAAAAAAGGATAGCCAGTTGATGCTCCTGCTGCCTGGAATGCTCAGGCTGTTTGTAGACTAATCAAACTTTCAGCTACCAGTCATAAAAAAATAGACACAAAGAAGGAATTATGAATGCATTTAATAATTGGATACTTAGTCAGATTCACGGAAAAAATGACCAATTTTTCACGAAAAAGATGTTTTAAATTATTATCTGGAGTTCAAATCACGACTGCAAAACTTGCAAATTTTGAAACTATCCTTCCAAACGGTCTTTGAGATGCCTCAAGACTCTTTTTCCATGACAGGATACACAACAGGAATAGCTACAAATAACGGAGAGTCGATGGGCTAAAAATAATATATCAAGCTTAGTCGGATAAAAGAAAAAACGACAGAGGTTTCATGTTGCTGACAGAGGTTTCATGTTTTTTTTTGAGGAAACTGTCGGATAAAAGAAAACTGATGAATTTGTTTGTTAACAGATTCGAAAAACGGTCCTGTGTTTTCTCGGAAAAAAACCCTGTCAAATAACAACGCTAAGAGCCCTGAAAGATAACAAATGGTCGTAATGTGACCAAAAAGACGTACTTCATTGTACGTAAAATATAATCAAAATTGTTGCCTTCGCTAAACACTTTCAAAACAGAGGCAAAGCGGAGCGTTGCATCACGTGCGATACAACGCAAACAGAGTATTGCAAGCTAGCACACGACAGATGAAAAGAAAGCCACTACTATGGAAACAACTTGAAAAAAATCAGAACCAAAACTACAACAACAGTACTTGGAATGAAGTTAAGCTTAACGAATACACGTCAATAAAAGTTGCCGGCGTTATCTAAGTATAGCCGACAAATTTATGGTAAACATCAGTTGACCCAAAAGCAAACTTCTCGCTCTGAAAAATTTTGGAAACAAATATAGCTCCGGAAACCAACAAAATTTTAAAAACAACTAGCGTTTAACGCACCTCCGGTGCTTCGAAATTTTTCGACAACTCATGAAAAACCGCATATATTGGAAACAACATCTGCAAACTTTGTGTACTCTGACTGCACCCAATTACAGGGTTGGTAATTTCGAACTTTTCATTTTTTTAAATTCCCATATTAAAAGCGTCATCTCGAAAAGTTAATGGGCCTCTGCAGAAATTTGAAGGCCAGTTTTGCAACCACAGAGAGCCCCTGAGAGCACCCTACTATAGGGTTAGGAATTCAAAATTTTGTGAATTTTTTTAAACCTAAGTGAAAATGAAAAAAAAAAACGTCTTATCTCGGAAACTAAAAGGATTTCAGCATTTATATTAAGAGGCAAGATTTGAGACGCCAGGGCGTACGCTGACAACAAGGTTGTATCTTCGAGTTGGTAGTTTCAAATTTTTTGAATTTCTTTGTAGATAAGTTCTTTGAGAAATTCTGAAAAAATCAAAAAACATCACATCTCGGAAACTGAAAGCATTTGAGTAGTCGCATGTGGCAAGATTCGCAACTCTTTAGAAAACCCTGACAACACCGAACTATAGCGTTGGGAATTTCAAAATTTGAAAAATAAATAATGTAAACTTTCTGAAAATTTTGAAACAATCACAAAAAACATCATATCTCGAAAACTACAAAGAATTGAGCAGTCACAATTGGAGGCAAGATTCGCAGTCCTTGGGAATACTCTGATAGGACCTAACTACAGGGTTGCGAGTTTCAATTTTTGCGGGAAAAAAATTGATATAAGTTTTCTGAATTTTTTTTGAAAAAATCACAAAAAACGTCATCTCGAAAACTACAACAATTTGAACGGTCATACTCGGAGGCAAGATTTGTAACTCCTTAGAGTAATCTGACAGCAACCAACTACAAGGTTGGGAATTTCAAATTTTTTGAGAAATATGTAATTAAATTTTTCTGAAAATTTTTGAAAAAATCACAAAAAACATCATATCTCGAAAACTACAAGGATTTGAGCAGTCATGTTTGGAGGCAAGATTCGCAATGCCTGATAGTACTCTGGCAGTACCCAACAACAGGGTTGGGAAATTCAGATTTTAAAAAAATAATAATTTAAGTTTTCTGAAAATTTTTAAAAAAATCACAAAAAACGTCATATCTCGAAAACAACAAGGATTTGAACAGTCATATTTGGAGGCAAGGTTTGTAATCCCTTAGAGTACTCTCACAGTACCCAACTACAGGGTTGAGAACTTCAAGTTTTGTAACTTATTTTGTTATTTGAAATTTCTGAAAATTTTTGAAAAAATCCCGTTAACTAAAATGATTCGGGCATTCAAAATTGGAGGCCAAATTCGCAACCCCTAATTCAATATTGGGCTGCTTAATTTAACCTCGGTAAAATAACTACTAAAATCAAATTGGAAAATCGAAAAAAAATTCTTAACCATTGCAATATACGATTTAGCTTAAACATGCAAAAAATAATACGTTGAAAAAGCTTAAACATGGCGAGATAGTGAAGCCCGCATTTAAATTTATAATAGATTTTTCCTAACAGCGAATAAAGAAGAAGTTTATAAAATCTCCGGAAGAAATTAAGAATACTTTAAAACAGAGCATTCAAAACAGTTGGAAAAGAGTCATGAACGCGAGGAAATAAAACTTTTGAATTTCCGAGAAAAAAATATATCCCCTCAAAGCTCTTTGAATTTCAAGAAAAAATTATGATTAGTATTTTCTTTAATAAATCGACCCAATTTGAGAACAGTGGATTAATAGGTAAATTTTTTTATTCCAATTAGAAATCTGCAAATTGAAATCCACTTTCGAAACTAGAAATCGATCACGTTTTTTGTGACACTTACACTTTTGCGGTTCGATAGTGGAGTTTGCCTTCCCTTCAACACAGGAAATCAAGTGAACTCAAAAACAAAATATAAATCATTAGTCAAACCGCGAAAAATTAAATTTTAGCGCGTCAAATTTTAAAGACCTTTTCCTGAAAAAAAAATCGCCAAGAGATATATAAAATTATTCACAACGTTAAGGACTTTTATTTACAGTAAAAACTGCAATCAGTACAAGAAAAATCCGTGATGTCGCAACTAAAACCTTTTTTCATACCGATTTGATTACACTTGCCAATCCCAAGTTAACCATGAAAAATATCGGTACCATAACTTTCCAACATAGAACTTCTTAAACATCGGTCAAGTGAAACGCCAACTAGATCATTTCCAAATTTTGAACTATATCAGAAAATCAACTAGGAAAAACTTAAAGTGAACTTTTTCTAAAACTTTCAAGATTGTGCCAAACCTCCTAAAATTCTGGATTTCAGATCTTCGTAATTTGGCGCCAGAAATACAACCCTACAAAAGACCCTAGTATCAAGCAACTGCTCTTGCTAGAATTTGACTACGAAAAACAAAATGAACATCTAAAAATGATAGTAAAATAAGTCATTTTCGCGCGAAAAAGAAACATTAAAACAGCATAAATTCCTCGTAAAAAAAACACGAAACCTTTAGAGTTAAAGAAATCACGCTTCAACAGATGTATGGTGTAAAACAGCAGATGACCTTGGAAAGTTGTAATTCAACAGTTCGAAATATTAACAAAAAGATTAAAATCATATTTCATATAATTTGTGCGCTGACTTAGATGTGTCATGAGCGTCCAAATTTAATCCGAATCCCGTGGCAAGGACTTAGGAATGTGTTCCGAGAGACACCAACTAAATGATGTATAGATAGTTAAAAAAATATTTGATCTTCCCAATTTTGAAGAATTAGGACCTCATTAGACAACAACCAACTCTGAAATACTTTTTTTCCTAAATTTTTCACACAGCTTCGCGCCACTTGCGATACAAAACAAAATGCCAAAAATCGAAAGATAATGTGTCTCAAACGAAAAGTGTTGAATGAATTGTTGTCAATTAAAATCATATTGCAATGTTATTAAAATCAACTACCGAATTCATAAGGGATTCGGGCTACACCAACTCAATTCCTTTCTTTCTCATAACCAGTAGTAGAAACGATAAGAAAAAAAGTTTTGGTAAAAAAAATCGAGATCCAAAAAATCCTAAATGCGCTCAAAAATATTGCTTAAAATTTTGCAACCAACCAACCTCCATATCCTACAGGAAAAATCGAGGACAAGAAAAGTCCCTTTCCGTTATTTGCTATAAACTAAAATCCTACTGAAAAAAATTATATACAAGCCAACAGACAAATCGCGCTTATATCACGATCTGCTTATCAAAAGTTTCTACTTTCAGAAAACGGTGCGTCTTTGTATACCTCAAAGATACTTAAGCGCTCCGTTCGTCTAAGAATACCCTTAATCTAATGAGTCTAACTTTTCTCTCAAAAAAAATGGAGAAAGCAATCAGAATTAATGAAAAATTTTTTCTGCACTTCAAACGTTTTGTCCTGACATAATTTAGTTACTAAGTCACCACATCTGCTGAAAAATCTATCTCAATCGCTATTTAAAAATCTGGTTTACTTCAGAACACAAACAAGGCTTCTCTAAACACTGAATTCACTTTTTTCAAACGAAATAAATGACTATTCAGAAATTGAGTTTAGAAAACAAACTCGTAAGGAATAGGCTCAAGAGTGATGAGTTCTTCCTTTTTGTAGGGTACTTCAAAAGCACCCTTGGGGGGCTTGGGCTGTCTCTTAAGTGACACCCGCTTGCCAGCTGCCTTCGCTTCCTTCCTCTTGATTTCATTTTGCTTCACTCTGTTCAAGAAATCCAATCTGGACTTGGATGGTTTCACGTGTTCCACTCGTACGTTGATCCTCTTGGCGATGATTCGACCCTTGACTCGTTTGTTTACGATTACTCCCAAACCGGCTCTTGTGACGTTGTACACTCGGCCTAAACAGTAAAAACTCATACAAAATGAACGGAAGAATTTACGACTGCATTAATAAGATGTGAGTACACATTAAAGCAATATCAATGTAATTTAAAACAGAGGTTGAGATGATACTACTGATAATAACAGAGACATTACAGGGCAAAATAAATGAAGATTACTTCGCCATTCTGAGGAAGAAGGCGATATATGATATTTTGTGACTTTCAAATTCAATTGAAAATTCCCTTGCAATCAGTTGAAAAGAGGTTCAGAATGTGAGTCCAGTGCTTAAGTACCCTTCATTAAATTGAAACAATGAATAAACGCAAGTGATCCCAGCCGCAAAATAAATTTTGGGACAACTATAAATTTGCAACCGTTTATTGTTTTGAAGCCAATCTAAAATCATACATATTACAAACGGCTATCATTCCAAGCGGCTATCATAACTGTTTCAAAGAGCCGATTACTGACTATGAACATACCAGTTCTTCCATGGTAGGCCTTGTATGGCATGCCCTTCTGTTGTGCGCCACAGCCCTTAATGTCCACTAAATCTCCCTTCTTGTAACACAGCATGTACGTCTTCATAGGTATAACTCCATTTTTCTTGTACTCTCTCGAGAACATGTATCGAGTACCTCGTCTCTTTCCGTGTGCGTTGGTCATTTTGAATCACGTGCCTTGATCTGAAATTTTAAAAACCTTTTAAGCGAAAAAAACGGAAAAAATTGTATAATCGCAGGCGTAAATAACAGCATTGATATTTTTGATCCATTGATATTTTTTGCAACTGCTTTTTAATTTCAAAATGTATTTACATTAGATTAGAAGTAAGGCAATATAAAATAAAATTCTTTCAAACATATTTTTCCAATATTATCAAGTCCAAGATCGCAGCAACAAAGTTATAATTTCAAACTTCAAGTCGAGAGAAGATTTTGGCTATTAAATCATTCGTATCAACAAGATCATCAAGCGACCCAATATTATCCAAAACAGAGGAATAAATTGTTCTTTTTGTGAACAAAGCGAGCGATTGGTCTTTTCTTATTCGACATCTACGGAACAAATACTGCGGCAATTGCAGGAAAAATAACTTCAAAGGCCGAAATGTCAATTTTCTTCTCTTCAGTGGAACAAAATGCAACATGTATTTCAGCCTTACAATCAAACAATGAACGACGCCTCGAAGATTCTTAGACCAAGTTTTTTCACTGGTAAAACCGTCTGCATAAAAACTCCAGCGAAAATTAGTCTTCAAGACTGCAGTCAAACGCATCAGTATCATTTTGCTCGTTACTTGTCCTATTATCAGCGATGGTTTTCTATCCAGTAGTGGCTTGTAATTAGGACTTATGTCACCCAAATTGACATTTATAGAAACTCCGGACCAAATAAAACTTTGAGTTTCTCCTCCCGATTCGTAGACTTGCAACTTATTCGGATTCGCTTTCAAATTCAGCTCGGAGAATCCTTCCAAGAATAAATTCTTGAACTTTTGTACCATTTCCTGTTTCTCTGTGATCAAAAGGTAATCGTCAACATTTCGCAAGAGAAGCCCGTGATTTTTTAACACTGGGATCAAATACCGTTTATCTACTTCATTTAAGTACAGAAAATTCAGAAAAGATGAAATATTTGCTCCTTGCGACAGACCTTTTCTTTGCCACAAAAAATTATCTTTTCCACAGGTAGCTTTCAATATATTTCGTTTTACAAGCATCAAAATAGATTTCATAAGGGAGTCAATATTAACTCCTGCTGTTTCGAAGCGTTTCAACTCGCATATTTTCACAGAGTTGCTGATTTTCTTGAATTGTTGAGCTAACGATTCCAAAGAGTCTTCTAGACTGACGAACCCGTGACTTAATTTGCGCACTATTTTGGAAAACCGAACATACTTCGATCCCTCTTTAGAATGTTTTAGTTTTCTAACAGAAAATAGCAATTCATTTTCAGGTTTATTTTTCTCGCATACCGCTGATACTTTCTGGTACACAAAATGTTGGCTTTTGAGACGGTTAAAAAGGTCTTTGACAATTTCGCACATTTTGTCTTGATCTATATTATCGTAGCACTTTTCGATATCAGCTTTCGCGAAGTAAATTTTCGGGCCCGAGATGTTCTCGAAAAATTCTCGCAACATCCTAGCTAAGGTCTTATCGATAGCTCCAGAACCCACGCTACATCCGCCGCTTAAAACCGAGTCGCTACTTTGAAACAAAAACGAAAGAAAATCACGCGCCGATTCTAGTTTTCTGTTCACACTGCTTTCACTTAATTGGATATTATTAACCTCACCATGTTTAACAATGGGACGAAAAGCACCATTCGGTTTCTTTTGGAACTTAAGTTTCGAAACTCCCAAGATTTTGTCATTTTTGACCAGTTTTTCAACATCGCTGCATTTGACTTTTTGGTAAAGTTCCAGTGGTTCATTCGTGAAAACTTCCAGAGCCTTGTACTGATTCTGCATGACTTCAGTTTTGTTCACAAAGTTAAGCTCGCCTGGGTTTGAACCATCAGCTTCGATTCTATAAGTTGAGTTCATTTTCGAAATAAACACACCAAAAAGTAACCATGTGAAGAATTGCTCCGCAAAAGCAGCCGCTTTACAAGCGTTTCCTTTTTGTCTAAGGTCAAAGTTTGTCAACCATTTCATACTGCCTGTACTCAATTGTCGCATTAATTGTCTCAAGTCAATTTTGTCAAATCTTCCCATTTTAAGATAATTTGAGAGCCATGTTTTTGTGGCAGCTTTATTCGTTTGAGAACCAAATACTTCCAATGGAACATAATTTATGAACTCATTTAGAAAGGTAACCACTTGAAATTGAGAATTTTTGGTTAACTTTTTTGACTTGAGAGATATCAATAATTTCTTTAGCACAGGTGGAAATTTTCGCAAATGTTTTCCTAGAAATACGCTTCCACTTTTCGCAGGCTTAATCTCAAATATGCTCGCAGCAAGATTTTCCACAGTTTTATTGCTAATCACAAACTCGGGTTTCCAAATATTCGGTAGAGCAGCAAGTCGATTTTGAAGTTTGGAATCCTTACATAACAATAACGGATGTGGGCAAATACTGGCGTTTGAATACTTCAATTCGTTAGATTCGGTTGATTTAGCATTTCCCTGCCTTGTTCTGGAACTAGCAAACACTTTTTCGCAAACCGATGTTCCACTCAATTGAATCAGAACTTTACTTTTCTTGCTTTGATAGAAAACGCTTGAGTTTGAGAATAAGTAACGAAAGTTATAATCTCCGATTGCTCGCCAAATAAGCTCAAGAGGAAGTCGTAAAAAGTAGAACAAATTCGAATGTATCCTCGGATTCACCAAATCCAAATTTGTCGCCGCCGGAACTTGATTGAACAAAACATCACAAGAGTTCCTATGATGTAAAAACTCAATAGTTTCAGTCAAAACTTTCCAAAAATCTGAACTGCATTCAAAACACTGGGGCTCCGAAAATATGCATTTTACGTATTTACACGCAAATATAATACCATGTAAGGATTTCAAATTACTCGTTGAAGAAGCATCAATGAAGCGTTTGAGCATATCTTGAGCCGAAATTACCAGCGGTGCTTGCAAGGTATTGCAAAGTATCAATTTAAAATCATTTAGATGCCCAGTCTCCTTTTTAGAAACAACCTCAGGCAAAAAATTGGCATCATTAGCCATTGAAAAACAATCAACCTGAAATGAAAACTCCAACTTCTAATGAGATCAGTTAAAAGTAACAATAATATTAATCAGATCGCGATTTCAAACATTATAAGAGAACATCCACGTGTTTAAAAATATTTAATTTATTAGACCAATTATACAAAAAAAGCATTTCTCAATTAATTCATTAAAGCGGTCAATCTTAAAAAGAGAATCAGAATGATTCAATTGAAAACATAAAACTCAGAATTAAATAGTAACTGGATTTCAGTCAAATTAGACCAGGTTTTATTAAAATGACAACATTTAATGGCACAGTGGGAAAATTTCAAGTTGAAAATCAGAAACTGCAAATTTTAGAAAAAGACGGGTTCGAAAAAGAAAGTGAGAATTTTCCGCCTATTCGAAATTCATACCAAATGTTCAAATTGAATACAATGCAATTGGAATAGAATCTTTCTATTGAACATTATAAGCTAAGCAGTGAACATTATAAGCAAAAATACTTTTTCTTTCACTGATTCCATCACTGCATCATATGATGAAAAGCACCACATTTAAAAATTGAAGCAAAACTAATTGAATTTAGTCCATTTTCCGACTCATAATCATGACTCCTTTAGTTTGAGTAGACTTGTTCTCAGACTATTTTCCAGCTGCTGTGCAATGTGGAGTTGTTTATGTGCGAATGTGAATATGCTCTGTCTGAGTGACCTGTCTCTCTCTTGTTTGTAGTGCGCAATTTCTGCCTTGCATTGATCTCCTACTGTTTCTAGTTCAGATTCCGTTCGAAGAAGGTCATCAGTCAGCTTAACAACAAAACATAGCCACCTGACAGATGGAATAGAAAAATGAACGCAAGGAAACAAAAAAATTGAAACTTCAATTTTCCAATTTCAAAGAAAAAATTATGACCTTAAGCTCTGTGAACTTCTAGAAAAACTTATGATAGACACTTTTTGATAAAATTAACCCAATTTGAGAAAATTGGATCAAAAAGTAACCTTTTCATTTCGATGGGAAATCTGAAAATTAAATTCCACTTTCGAAACAGGAAGTCGCTAATATTTTTCTTGACCTTTACACTTTTGTTCATCGATGGCGGAGTTTTTCTTCCTTGTACACAGAGGCGAAATTGCACTTCGCATACACAAGCAAAAATACAACTTTAACCGTAGCAATGTTCGACAACGCTACTGGGAAAACTGAATGAGTAAAACTTGGAGCCTACAAAATTTGTTAAGTGACGCAAGCCAATTATGACGCATTAGCATTCACCTTAAATGTAGTGGTCTTACCCACCTTAACCAACACCACCTTGACTACTATTGCCCTACCTGTACCTCTACCTACATTTTACCTCCCCCAGGCACCAGGTCCTCTAACTTGACCACCCCCAACTCCCAAACTTGTTCAACTTCCCTAACCGCCCCCCAACCCCACCTCCCTAACCCCCCTCCCCCTCCCACCCTTCCCACCTCCTCGAATAATAATTCCTCCTCCCAAAATCGCGCAAATCGTAATCGTGTAAATAGTGTAAATAACTCAAGTTCAAACAACCATTTTAATCATACTGCTGTTAATAATGTAAATAGTTCACCACACCCTGCCAAAGGCCTTTTAAAAATCCTTCAATTTAATTGCAACGGTATCTCCGGAAAAGCACCCGAAATTGCTGCTTTCTTATCTCAAAATCAAATTCATATTGCTGTCTTCCAAGAAACTAAATTAAGAAAGAAATCTCGAAACCCCTCACTTGGCTCACACTACACTTTAATTAGAAAAGATCGAGAAAAAGAAGGGGGCGGTCTTCTCATAGCCATACATGAGTCGATACAATACGAAGAAATAAATATTAACAACGATGGAACACTAGAGGCTATGGGCATATCAGTGGTAGCCAGTTCATCCAAGCTTCGTATTTATAATTTCTACATCCCCCCTCGCTCGAGCTGTCCCCCTGGTTACTCTGCGTCCCTTGCCGAACTACTTGAACCTGGGGACGCCTTAGTACT